AATTGGTAATAATTTAAAAGTATCTTGTATTTAAGATACTCTAATTTAGTAAAAGATACAAGTATCTTTTATCTTGTATCTTTTTGATATTTTGAAAAAGATACTAGTATCTGTATCTAAGATTCATTTTTTTTAAAAGAATCTGTATTTGTATCTAGATTCTTTTTCCGGAGGACCTGCCCAACTCTGTCAATATCTACCATAATATTATCAGGGCAAGACCTTCTCCGCTTGTCAATAGTATTTATTATAAATTAATATATAATTAAGCTCCTGGTTTTGGATTCCACCTGCATTGACCCAAATGCACCATCTAACCGCAACGCCGATGCCTTGCCCCATGACCCTTTTTTCTTATTCCTCCTGCTTTATTCTCACCTTCGGTAGCAAAGCACAACGTTTTCTTAACGATCTGCCTAAGTAATACCTCTTCTTACGTCAAAGACTTGCTAGCGCCATTATTCGCTCTAACTATCTAAGTTTTATCTCTTCCATTGATTAACCTTCCATATTTCTAGCTTCCTTTTTTTTATCACCTATCTTTTCCCATAAACTCTATTTGTACATTTTTCACTTTTATTAATTTTATATTTTAAAAAAATTAATTGCTATTACATTTTGACAACATTCAAAATAAAGTGACCTAAGACCAGTAAAAATATTATTTTTTTATAAACTTGTAATTATCAGCATTTTCGTTTTTTTAAAACAAGGTCTCTTTCAAGATTTTAATTTATTTCCCAAACAAAGAATAAAGGAAGGGTATTTCCTGGTTTAATTCGGCTATATGGCTTCGACTAAACAACCTAAAGTACGAGAAGTTTAAGCTAAATAGAAATGAGTGTCAAAACTCTTACATTAGTAACGATTTTATTTTAATACATTGTAGATAATGAAGGTTTAAGGCTATCAATTTAAACTTTTACTTTATATTAATTTTTATAAAAAAACGTTTTATTATATTTTATATTAAATTGATTTATTTTTGTATATATAAAGAGATCATTATTATATTAAACTTTACTAGTTATTTGAAAATAAAGAACTTAATTTAATATTTTAAATCGATTCTTATTCCTACGTTCTCAAATCAAGCCATCACCCCCACGTATCCAATATGTCCAACACAATTAATTTTAATTTTTTATTAACGATTAACGGCTGATAAACTCTATTATACCAAGTTTACTTTGAAATAATATTAGAAAAATCTTTAATTCGACTAAATTAATAAAATTACCAGAAACATTCCTAGGAAACAACTCGAAAAAAACATTCTGACCGGAAATGGCCTTACCCCGTAATCCGGTCCATAAATCCTGTCCATGTTCTTCATATTTTAAAATTTTCCCGTTGAAAATATTTTGCAAAATACGCCAAAAATTATTAGAATCGACGAGATTTTAAATAGCGGGGCCAGGCCAAAAAATTGATCAAAAAAAATCCTCACAGGCCAAATATAGGAAAAAACCCTAAACCGAACCTGAAAAATTTTTTTTTAAATCGGGGCCGGGTTTAGGACCGAGCAAAGACCTTCATGGGCCTTAATTCTTTGACCAAGCCCGGCCCAGACCTGCATTATTAAATTGATTTGGCCGGCCCATTTAATGTTAAAAAAAATTTCCAAGTCCAGCCCAAGCCCCTAATAAGTTTCACAAAAATTTCCCAAGCCCGGCCCAAGCCCATATACATAAATTTAATTTTTTTTTTTATTTAATTAAAATAAACAATATTTAAATATATTTAGGCAATCATTTTGTTTACAATACTGAAATATTATAATTAGAAGAAAAAAAGGCAATATTTCATTAAATTAGCAACTGTTTTAAATTTAATAATTATAGGCCCAAGCCTAGCCCATTAAATAAATTTAAAAACCCAGGCCCGGCCCAGACCCGCCAACAAATATGCTATTAGACCCATACCCGGCCCGGCCTATGAAGGTCTCTGGGACCGATCTCTAAAATTTTGACCTTTGCATGTCTCATGGTGATACCTAATTTTGGCTTATAAATAAATTAAACTCTAAATATTTTTTTTTAATTTTCATAAAATTTTAATTATTTTATTTGTATAGGATTTTACAAAAAATGGCTGATTTTGCGTTGATACACATTTAAATGAACGAACCATAAGACTTTAAAAAAAATAAAGCATAGCCTAATTTTATCTCTTTATTTATAACTGGATAACTCTCGTTATGACATGAGAAAAAACAGGTGTAAAGTGGATGTTTGCTATTTTATTAAATAATGCAATTTGTCGTCTTTTTAAATGCACATTCAAATTTTATCTGATCTCTTCCATGAGAATTCTGGATAAAAAATTTATTAAATTGGCCATTTAGAAAATAAATTAGTATATATAATTGAAACGTACAGATACGTTCTAATATAAGAACCAGTTGCATCGTTTTCTAGATAATTTGGATACCGAATCCCCCCTTTCCTCGCCACCTTTAATAAAATTTTGGCAACCTAATCTTCAAAAAAAAAATTAGATAGATTTAAAAATAATAATTGACGTAATATTTTCTTATTTTTAAAAGATACTTATAATATCAAATTAAAAGTGATTTTTCTCTCATAGGAGTAAAATAATCCACGAGGAAGAACTTTCCCTTCACCTTTTTAGTTATGAAGCCTATATAAGTATAACCTTTGAATAAATTCTTAGCTATGCATCATGCGCAGGGTTTTAGAAAATTAAAGGTTCGGCCTTATTAAACTAAGGTTTTTGAATTTAAAGAATTTTATAAAGGGTGCAAACGAAGATTATAATAAAGAAAAGCCCCCATTCCTTTATCTACTTTTACTAATGCTGGCGGATTATAAAAAAATTATTCGGAAAGATCATGAGTTCTTATTAATCACACGTGTAAGATGCTCAACATGTTTAAGGGGCAATTTTATATTGAAAGGTTTATATTTATATATTCATTTTATTAATTAGACACCATATTTGAAATTATAAATCTTCCTGTGAACAAATTTATCTATCTATTACATCTTTTGTGTTTAGGACTTCTATAAGTGACGGTCTTAGTTCAATAGGGTTGGCACAAGGTACTATTAGAAAATGGTAAATATATTTATAAAATATGTTAACATTTTTAGGTTAGCAATATTTAGAAAAATTTCCTGCCATACACAGGTCATCTATTTTGAAAAAATAGGGAGCTCTGGACATGTGATCGAAATGGATAAATCCATTTCAGGTTTTTAACTTATAAATTTTATTAACAATATTTTAAATTCCATAAATTTAAAGACATATATAGGCTAAATAAAGAGTTCTAAATGACGATTCTATCACAAATATATCTGAAGATATCAGATATAAAAGAGAGGGGGGGGGCTACTTTGCCCAAAATGCCCCATTTTTTCGACCTCCAATGCCTTTATCTCAGCCGCTTTAGAGTTGGAGCAAAATTTTTATTTGTTTCTTATTTACAATATATGCAAACTCTTGTAAAATTTTTTTAAAAACCTGAAAAAATCGGGTTGGAACTCATATTACTATCATGGAATTCACCATATATATGCAATTGCAAACTGTATGTTTTTATATGAATGATAAGTATGTTTTTAAATATGTAATGAGTATGATTTTAAACGTTGCGGGTATGATTTTAAATCTGCAATTTTCTAAAAATGTAATTTTCATGTCATACCCTTTTTTTTTATTAAAAATTGTATAGCTACGATAGTGTCAAACTCATTTCTGTCCAAAAATTTAAGAAATAATAAAAACGATGCATGAATACGCCATGAAAAGGGACCAGGTCAAAATAAGGGACACGATGTCATAGAATGCCACCCCGCTCCTACCCATTGCGGACCGTTAACCTCCATGACTTCAAATTTCTATAGGGTTTTCTTTTCAATTTTAGTTAAAACTAATTTTGAAATAAAATCAATTGTTTCCAATATCTAAGGCATCATGACTTCTGAAATATAAAATATACCGGCAATCTAAATATACAAACATTAAATACTAGACCATAAATATATAAACTATATATATATATATATATATTATAAATATTACTCTTATAAGCAGGGATCTGGAAAGGACAAAATTTTCATCGTTACAAAATTTTTAAATATCTAATATATAAGATAAAATTTGATATATTCTAATAATTAGGATCTTTAAGCTCCCTGCAGTGATCCAAATAATCTTCTTTTATTTTTTTGGAAAATAGGCCTTCGTAAAAAAATAATAAAATAAGTTAGTTTGAACTTTATAAATCATTTCCTAATAAATTTTTTTTTAATTTCCTTTTTAATTTCTTACTTTACAAAATCGGAAGAGAAAAAAAAATGTCGGAATCTTAAATTTTTTTTTAAGGTTCAGATTATTCGCGGGTTCGCAAAAAATGTCCCTTAAATCCAGAAAATTAATTAATAAGTCGAAATTTTTAAAAGAAACTAGAACCGTTGGGGTTGCCCTAATTTCTTGTACACCCCGGTATACTCCTTGCCTGGGGTTATACTTACTTAGATCGTTTTTGTCATTTTTTTACCAATTCCTTCATGAGAGTTTTAAAAAAAAACTTAAAAATAATCAAATACAAAGCCCTAAACAACCTATTATATTGAAATGTAACAAGTTATATTTTTAAGAATGCAATTTATAACAACGATAATTCAATAACCTTTAACATTACTATTTCTCAACTATTGTCATTTAACTAAATTTCAGCATAACATGCTGTGACATATAGCCAATAAATAATGATTTATTTTAATGAAACAAATCATATATTGTGAAAATTAAAAAAAATAAATAATAATTATAAAATAAAATTTTTATTTTTAAAGATCGTAAAAATTTAGATACTGAAATAAGAAGCAAATGCCTTACAATTTGAATTTTTTTTTAGTTTGAATAAAACTTTCAAAAATATCTTCTTTCAAATAATTTTAGTGATTAGCATATAAACGAAACTAAATATATTTATTGTAATGAAATATTTAAAATATATATTATAAATAATGTATAAATTATATAATAAAAAATGGATAATGCAACATTATAATTATTATTTTTAAAAAAACCAATTTGATTATTTCCGTAAAACAATGCGCAATTTAGTTTTATAATCACTATTTTCCAACCAATTTAGTCATTTCGGGTATCACCTAAATAATAATATAGGTTATATATAAAAAAAATTTTAAAAAAATTGCTTCTATATCTTTATTAACTCTATCAGATATTGGGCATCATTTGATCCCGTAAACAATCAAAATGTATTAATTCACCTCTCACATTATATGGCAGATGTATATATATATGACCCCAGAATTTTGAAAAATCCTTACAAAATCGAAATGTAATTGATGCTTATTTAGACTTTGATTATAATTTTTTCAGATAGGCATTTTGTTGGGCTAGCGAATATGTCTCCCTATATTCACTAGCTCAACAAAATGCCTATCTTCGTATTCGATTAATACGAATCGAATAATTTAGTTGCTCATTTTTTGGCGAATCGAATATTCATATATTTTGTATTCGTACAAATGGAATAATCTATGTCCCCAAGGAAAATAAAATTGACAGAAAAAAAAATATTTCAATTTTTCACCGATCCAATATTGCTAATTTTAATTTAATGGAAGGTAACGGGAGATCTCTTCTTTGATTTTAAAATCTAATTTTATTATATATATCTATATACAAAATCTTGTCATTATATACATTTTTTTATAATAGCGTATTTACATGTTAACAAAGTACATATGTCCTTTACAATTTCATTTTGCGTTACCGATTTTATTTATCTTTTATTACACTGACCTTTTAAACTAAAAAATATAATATTCAATTTTAATCTTAATCTTAATTTGGTCATATTTAACATTTCCCTTTCTTTTTAAATTTCTCCCTTAGAAAGCTCGAGTGTTCTTTCCTATCATCGAGAGTACATCGTTTATATCGATCCATTTCCTAGATAACCAATTATGTGATTTTGTTGTCAAATTCTTTATATTGTCTTGTTATTTCCTTCGATCTATCGTGTTTTTATTTCATCTAATGGTTTACCTTTAAAAAAAACTTTATTTATAATTATAAATCTTTTTATGTCTCAAAAAATATTTCCGCTCTTGATCTTGACTTCGGGCTTGAACTTGACCTTGATCTGATTTTTAACTTGAAACTCATTTTGTATTTTATCTTGAACTAGATTTTGTTCTCTATCTCCAACTCTTCCCCCTCTAAAATTTGGTGTATATGTCGAGTCGTCTTTTTCGAGCATATATGTTGATCTTTTCTATATTTGATTTAAATGTCTTCTGATGATTTTATTTCCGTTGTCTATTTTGTATGATTATGTGTTATTATTCCTTTGTCCCAAATGTTTTTCTTACACGTTTTGTACCAAATTTTATCTCCTTTTTCTATAGTTTTATTTGTTGATATTTTGCGATTAATTTCGTTGTTTATGTCTATGTTTGGTTTAACTAAGTCCCAATTTGTTCTAATATCTCTAGAAAACATTAATTTGTTTGGAGTTATATTGGTTGTAGCGTTAGGTGTGTTTCTATAATTAAACAAAAAATTTTCCAAAGCTATATCTAAATCTATTTTTTTGTTGGTTTTCATGTTCCTTATCATGTTCATTTTCATTGATCTTATCATTCTTTCACATTGTCCATTTGATTGTTGATGATGTGGAGCTTTAAATATGTGTTTGATACCATGATCTTCACAGAATTTTTTAAACAAATAGCTTGTAAAGTTCGTTCCATTGTCGGTTACGATAATGTGTGGTATTCCAAATAAGCTATTTATTTCATTAATTCTATTACTGTCAATTCTGTTGTTATATTTTTTATTCTTTTGATTATGGGAAATTTGCTGTATGCATCGACGATTACCATGTAATTATTGTCTTCAAATTGAGCTATATCTATGTGTATTCTTTCGAAATTTTTCGTAGCTGTTTGCCATGGATTTTGTATGTTGTGTGGATTATCTGCCCATTTGTTGCATGTTTCACAATTTTTTATTTCTTGATCAATTTCGTTATTTATTCCAGGCCACCATACATAATCTCTTGCTAACAATTTGGTTTTGCCAGCTCCTAAATGTCATTTGGATATAGGTTTTTTTATAGATATAAAATACTATTTTTTTTTTGAATTAATTAATAAGTTTATCCTATAAAATTAAATAAATTAATAAAAAAAAATTTGTTTTTAAAAAATTGATTTTGTTGGATAAAAGTGGGTTAGAAATATTGTATTTATTATTAAACCACCAATGTTGGAATTGTGATTTAAAATATTTTTTAAAAAGGTCTATATACATATTATTTTTGGGTCCTATAATGTGAGTTTTTGTATACATGGATAATAACTTTTTATAAGCCTCAAAAGTTAAGTCAAAACCTTGGAAATATATACTTAGGGGCACTCCAATCTGAAAAAGAAAAAAAAACATGTTTTTTATACAAAAAAGTATTTTTTCCTAGTTAAAAAACCAATTAATTTATTCATAATTCAATTTCAATGTGAATAAATTTTTTCAAAAATAACAATAGTAATTTGTAGAATAAAAATTAGCATGTATAATTACTTTGAATAAATCATCCACAATGCCATAATCTGACACCTGGAATATGGGAGCATCGGGATCCTTATTGATGGCTACTATGGTTTTACTATCCTTCATGCCGGCCAAGTGCTGGATGGCACCTGATATGCCAACAGCTATGTATAACTCCTTTGAATCATTTGGGTTAAAATTAAAAACACATTTAAATGTAAGGTTAAAACAAATATTAAATAACATAATTCATTGTATTGTATCCAAAAATGAAATCCAATTTCTTCAAAATATAAATAAGAGAAAAATACTGGTGCAACAATTTTCCCAGTTTGTCCAACTTGCATTTCATTGGGAACAAATCCTGAATCAACTGCAGCTCTCGAGGCCCCAACAGCTGCCTTCAGTTTATCTGCCAAGGCATATAATATTTTGAAATTTTCAGCACTTTTCATGCCTCTTCCTTGATGTTTAAAGTGAATATTTAAATGATAAGTCTTAAAGTATAAGTTATGAGATTTAAAATTAAAATTGAGGAGATAAGAAACTTGGGTTAGAGAAAGCTTATATAATTTTATTTAGAAATTTGTATTTCTTCTTAAGTGACTAAAATTTCAAATAAAAAAAGGGAGGCACTATAATTATATTATTATCAATTAAAATTATTAATACACAACATCTAGGCACATTAAGGCTGCATTCAAAGTGGAGATGGATCTGTTTTTTACATTTGTTCCATCAAAAGTCTATTCATTAAAAATAATATATATATTGATTTTCATTTTTAAAAAATTATAAGTAACGTTATAACACTCTATAAAATTTGCTTGATCAAAAAGTCAAAATGTTTTGACTTCAAAATTTGCCGGATTCATTTTTAAGATGGAAGGTATCGGAACGGACGCACTTAAACATATATATCATTTTTAATAAGATTGACCTTTGATGGAATGGATATAAAACCGGATCCGTCTCCACTTTGAATGCAGCCTAAATTATAATAATTAAAACTATTACCTCCCGAAATAACTGTTTTAGCACTGGATAATTCAGGTCGATCACTTGAGCTGACTTCGGAAGATATATATTTAGAATTTTCATTTTTCAAGTCTAAACTAACTTAAATTTATTGGTATTAAATAAATTAAATATTATATTTTAAAACATTTTTCAACAATTCTAGATACTGATGATGTTTCATTAAGGGCAGCCTCAAACGACGTCCCACGTATTGTCATTATCTTAATGGGTTCTTTAACAGTTAAATCAACTATAGCATTACCTAAAAAAATTTAATATAGCATTAAGTTCAAGATTAAAATAACCAGCATAAATATTTCTAACAAAGTTTTCATTAGATTTGATGTGTGTTACATCAGAAATTGGACACATATTTAATTTTGATGCAATTCTGGGCATTATATTCTAAAAGAATTATATAATATATTTTAAAATAATATCACTCTTGAAAATGAAGATGATCCAAAAATTATATGTGAATAATTATTCTTTTTTTGAAGTTCCAAAACTAATGTTGCAAAGGTTTCAGGTAGAAAATTCTTTAATTCTGAATTGTCAGACACAATTATTTTTTCTACCCCTTTTATTTTTTCCAAATCTTTAAGTACCTATAAATAAATACTTAATATAATATTTTGGTAAAAACAACCTTATCTAATTGATGCCCAGCTAGTAAACATGTTACTTTGGATATTTTGGACCCTGCATTAATAGCATTGTAAGTTATAGGAGCAAGTTTTTCATTATTATGCTCAGCAACTACCAAAGTTCCATTGTACCTTCTCTCAATTATATTTATTGACTATTCAAAAATAGTAAAGTTAGGTTATCTTAATAATTATATCATAAGGCCAATTACCTTAGTTAAAAAGGCTGTCGATTTGGTAACTTTAAACATATGATTTATTTATCAGTCTGGATAGTGTGTGCTAAATTTTCCCCATTTACTCGAGTAATGGTTGCAAGTGTTAAACGTTATTGATTTTTTTTGACTAATCATTTTAATTTAAAAAATAATATCTTAAAATAATCATGTAAACTATTAATAAAATAACATATATCTAAATTTATTATAAAATAAAATGTTAAAAATATATTTAAAAAACATGTATAAAAAAGAAGGCGTTCATTAAGTCCTGAGTCAATGTTGCCTCGGAACACAGCTATTTGGATTGATTCTAATATTATTCCATGAGAAATAAATTTACCAAATATCTTAATAAATTGTAGTCAATGGACCTGAGAATCGTAGAAATAAGTGTTATAAAAGAAAGATAATCTAAAAGGTATTGATACTTTCTGATTTTGAGCCATTAATCGCCAATGTTTAATATTTGGAATATCAACAATGGCGTTGAATAATTGTTTTGCTATGTCATTTTTAAATTAAAAAATCTGAAAAATGCAAATTAAATATTTTGAACTTTATTTATTATTTGGTAAATTTATAAGCTTAATTTAAAAATTGCACCATTTTTTTCAAGTATAAAACATGTATTGTTTAGATAAAATTTTAATTCAAAAAATATATATTCTAATAACTATTATCTCAAATTATATCTTTAAAATATTAGCAACATAGTATTCATTTCTCGAAACTGTAAGGTTATTTTTATGTTCTATATTTTAAACATTGGTAAATAACAATATTTTAATTCAATTATTATTTAGATGTTTTATTGCCAGCATAAAATTCTCTCCATTAAAAATAGCTTTAGGCGGTTTATTAGAAAATTAGGATGATGAAGAACAAGATTACCATACGATAATGGATCAAATATGACAGGATGTTATAAAGGGGAGATCAAATATTACAAATAAATCGGAGAGCTCTTTTATGCCTTGTCGTTGTCACAGCTTAAATCAGCTACTTGGGAACATGGCACTATCATCATTGGTTGAAAAATCGTGTTTTGATGTTGTCCTACAAATTAATTCTCTTTTCTGTTTCGACTCAGAAATGGCAAATTTTTAAAAATCATGTAAAATATTTAACTTTTCATTATGTTATCTGAAGCGCGGTAGGTGTAAGGTGGGTGGATAGTGTAAAGATTAGTGATATACGATGCACTTATAGACATATTCTAAAAATCTTATGACCCTAATTGCTACACAGAAACCACTTCATTACAATTCCATTTTTGGCAACTCCTCTCATCAGGTTTATACATTAATCTAGGTGAATTTAATAAGTAAGATCATGAAAAGTGGCAATTTTTAATTAGAAAGAGCCATTACACATATAGAAAGAACACATAATTTCTTTAAAATTACATTAAGGAAAACAGCAATCAGAATTCCCTTAACTCAGCCATCCGTTGACTGAGCTAAAGAATTGAAAATGAGTTTAGTAGAACTATGCGTTCTTTCGATAACTTTACCTAAGGGGACGTTTCCAGTAGTTAAAGCTCTTTATAGATTATTTTCATATTCAATATACCGGAATTAATAAAGAGAGAGCAAAAGGATCATAGCCAATTTAATATTTTATTCACAGATCAGGATACGAAAGCGATTAATCTGCAAGATCTTTAATTGAGTTAAAAATTTTAGTGAATGTCAGCAGCATCCCATAAAAATTTCATTGAAAATTATACATGCTATATTAACATTAATATGTTAAAGCAAGCCTTACCAAATATATACATTGTTTTAAGAATTATTTTAACTATTCCAATTATCGTGGCATCCGCAAAACGCAGTCTTAAAACTCAAATTAAATAAAACTTACCTAATGTTGTAGCTGTTGAAAAAAAGAAGAAATAAATTTTATATAATACATCAAATGTCAGTTATTTTCTGACAGGGAAACTAGTTTTCCTGGTGGATGGAGGAAAACGAAATCATCACATGGGTTGTTGTTAGAAAGAAAAGTTTCTTTGTTTGGATTTGGAGTGAAGATATCGGATGAAGACGGGATTGATTGGGGAAGATTTAATATGTTTAGATGTTATATATACATAAATAAAGTGGAATTGTAGTAATGTTTATTATATTTATTTAATATTATTAAAGGGATTATGTTTTTTCAATAATATTGACCGTATTCCTAGGATAAGAACCTGGAGATTCAAGAGTTATTCGTTATAAAAAGGTAAGAACCATTTTTTACATATAATTTTGAATTTTTACTGTGAAACCACAACGCAAGTACTAAAAACTATACAGGGGTAAGTGAGATTAAGAGGTGAGTTTAAGGGTTTTTATAATTTTTTTTTAAATATTTAGCTTACAAAGCTTAAGATAGAAAGTATGTAATGAGTATTAGGCAGGAATATGAAAATAAGATCAGGAATTTAAGACAGTAATATTTGGTATATTATATGTCTAGATGTACATTGTACATCCAATTTTGACAGTAGGTATGGTCATATTATTTGGTACGCCTTAAGACTCATTGAATGGTGTTATAGGTATTCCGTCATAGGAAGATAAGTAAGACCTCAAGATCAGCAGGACAGAAAGGATTGCTAAATATTTAAATATTTGGAATTTATGATAATATATATAGAAATGGTTGTTCTTATAAAATATGTGTTATATAATTATGCATTTTGGGGTTTTTAAAGGGATGGACATGTGTGGGATAATTTATTATTAATTGAAGGTTGATATATTATTAAGGGATCTATTGAGGGTGAGTTAATGTTGTTTATTTTGAAGTAATTAACCATTTTTATGAAATAGGGTGTAATGTGAATTACACATATGATATATTTAATTATGAATGATAATTTAAAGGAATTGAAGTATGATGAAGTCAGAATAATATCTATAATGTTAGATGTGGATAGTTATTTTGATTTAGTGTCTGCATTTGATATATATATTAATTGGGTAAGGATTTATATGATATATTAGATGATGTGTAATTTTTTTTTAAATTATGAAATCTTTATATTTAATATATATATTTTTTTTTTTAATTATAAAATTTTATAAAAAGTTATATTTGCAATTATTATATTATTTTTATGGTATGCAATGATGTGAAGGGAAAATATTTTTACAGATAAGGTCAGCCTGTGTTGATGGGTATGCCTTGAGGTGGGAATATTGTTTAGTTTGCATAAAAGTTTTTTTTTGTGTAAATTTATTTTGTAAATTTATGCTGCATATTACATTTTTTTTATCTTTGTAATAATTTTATAGCACATCACATTTTACTATTTATTTTATGAACATTTTTTTTTTAAATAAGACTCAAATTATTTTATATTGTGAAGGTATATTAAAAATTCTTTACATATATAACATATAGCCCATTATATTCTCAATTTTTGTTACTTTGCATTCTACATTTTTGTGAATTTGTGCTAATTGTGATGGCAGAGTTAGGTAGAAATGGTATATTTTTATTAGGATACTGAGTAATTCCTAGATGGAAAACATTATATTTTCTACATATTATATATTTTTCCTCCATATAAAATATTAAATTTATTTCTATACATATGTCTTGTAATTTTATAAAATCTTTGTTTGGCAAATTTTCAAAATTATTTTTAATACATAAAAATGGATTATTATATCTATTTTAGGAGATATTTATAAAAATATAGCTTTGATTTTGTTTACATGACAGAAGGATAATTACATGTGTTGAAATTACATTTCACACATAGACCATGTGTTCACAAATCATTATTTCCTAATTACCATTAATCATACCCAAATAATGTATATTATAGCTCCTATTTCCCAAATGTCTTAAAATGAATGAATTATTATGTTTTGCTGATATTACATTGTCCATATCAATGTTTTATAGATTATAAATGCAGATACCCCAATGTACATGTCAGTATTGATAATATATGTTTCCGCTATTATATATTGAAATGTATTGGAGATATTATATTATAAATCATCATAAGGGGAGACGATTCGATAAATTCCCTGAACGTCTTCAATGCGTACCAATAAAATTCAAAGGGACGATTCTATACAACACCACCACAGAGAGAGGGACGCTGGGCTTGTGAAGGGTGGGCGTGTTGTAGCTGTTGAAAAAAAAGAAGAAATAAATTTAATATAATACATCAAATGTCAGTTATTTTCTGACAGGGAAATTAGTTTTCCTGGTGGATGGAGGAAAACGAAATCATCACATGGGTTGTTGTTAGAAAGAAAAGTTTCTTTGTTTGGATTTGGAGTGAAGATATCGGATGAAGACGGGATTGATTGGGGAAGATTTAATATGTTTAGATGTTATATATACATGAATAAAGTGGAATTGTAGTAATGTTTATTATATTTATTTATAATTATTAAAGGGATTATTTTGGATTGATAAGTTATATTTTTGAGAGTAAAGGGTTTATTTATTTTTTTCAATACCTAAGATCAGTGGCATAGCTAGAATTTTCCTTAGAGGGGGTCCATACATATAAAATCCTGGGTGATTTTGCCGACCAGATCCCCCTTTAACGGGCCTTCGGCACTTTTGCCCGGACTTCGGCCGGGTTTATATTAAGAATCATATTTGTTTTTCTTTTAATATAAAAGCCCTAGAATTATTGATCATTTTAATAAGTGTTGTTAAACAACCCGATTTTAGCAGATTTTTATAATCAGCTAACTCAATATTTTAGCCAAGAAAATAAAATATAGTTCAGGCCTAGAGATTTCACAAAAAATGTCTATACCTTTTAATCGTCCATGAGCAAAATTTTCAGACTTGCATAATTTTCTGGCTAATATATTGAGTTAACCATATCGGCTCAAATTGAGTCATTAACAACACTAATTTTAATTAAAATAACACATTTCGACATAACTTTTATAGATATACGTTTCAATTTATTATACTTTATTAGAAATTAATTAAAGCGATTATTTAAAATATAAATATTGTATTGTTATAAATATAATTATAAATATTATATTGCCTTAATTATAAATTATATACTTTATAACTATTAGTATTACACATATAAATTGCTGATTATATGATAT